ATTCAAACTACCGCCATCCGCCGTGGGGCAACCCTACCCGCCTTCCGGAAAAGTTTTTTGCAGCTCGTGTAGGAGACGAGCCGAGCCGAGCCGTGTTTAGTAATATACAGCAAATTCGGGTCATTTTGCGCACTGAAGACTTATCATCAAGGCGTTTGTGGTTTTGGTCAACATTCGCCATCACGATCCAAACGGTATTTGCAACTCGACACTTTGTTTCGCCGTTGTCGATTTCTCTGGACCTGTTATGCTGGCTTGCTACAAGCAGTATTCTTTCGTGAGCTGGGATGATACGTATTTTGGCTTGCAGCATGCGGTGGGCTGCTCCCTGTATTGAAGAATATTACAGAAACGTCCTTGAAGATGCACCAAGCATCAACCAAGATGTTATAGATTTCTCCTTTTTTTGCGTTTGGTGCAATCCAAGTCTCTCTCCGTCCCGCATCTTTTCGGAACCAGTTACTGCCAACAAGCTAGCCTATTACTTTGATCGTTCCTCTTGCCAGTATCTATCTGCCAACGTATTTTCTCCATTCTTCCTTCCTCGTTCAAGCTTCGCATTGAAACCGCCCATAACGACCGCATATGTGAAGTTGACGATTAATTTGGTTCAGCATAGAACCAAATTAATCGTCAACTTCACATTCGAGCTCAGCATAGAACTTTTCAACCCCATCGTCATCACTGGCATTGGCGGGGGCGTGAACTTGAACGATTTTGAGTAGTTTATTAAAATCTAACCGGAAGAGGATCGTGACGAGTGAAAATGATAGGAGGTGACTTTTGAAGACCGCTGCCTGCTGATGGTGAACCTAACTCCGCTAGTCTTTCTCTACCCGTCACCAGCGCCGAGCAAAATCGTTTTTTCGCCTCTTCAGTTTACGATATATTCGGTCTTTCGCCGTGTTTCACACAAGCTGAGAACGTCGCACCATCTATTAATTTCTCGGATAAGATGGTTCGTCAATTCATCGCTTCGCAGCGACTTACACTTCGGAGTGTAAGGCATCCAGACCATTCCGTGGCGGTATTAATTTAGCATCTGTGACTCTTAGCAGTACTTCGTCCTCCAGTTGCCGATCCGACGTAGACCAGGCCAAAGAGTACGCATGGTACTGAGGCCCATTTTTATTATCCTTCATCCGTGCTTTTCCTCGAAATGCGTTTATTACGTTGTAGCTTGCATAACTGCTTGACTTTTATTGCATTACCAATCGCTGGTCAGGCTGACTAGTTTCGAACCACCAGGCTTGGCCGAACAGATGCAGCGCAATGCCTTTCGGCACGTTTGAAGATGTTAGGGTTGTACCCCGTCATTCCTCGACATTGCTTCTTCCGCTGCTACTTCCATACCACTATAAGGTGTCTAGGGTGCGATTTCGTGGGTGGCTGCATTCTTATGGTGTTTAAAGTGCAGCCTATAGGCATGAAATGAATTTTCGTGCACATATGTTTCATTTTCATACATATTTAATTTCAAAAAACCTGTAGTCATTTTTCTCTCTCGGAAGTCAGAACAAGCTAAAAAGACTGAGAAGAAAAT